TTATGGTCTTGGGCTTTGCTAGCTGTGAAGAGGATTTACAAAATGATTTAGATCATTTAGTGAGTTGGGCAAATAAATGGTAGATGGTTTTAAATATAATAAATGCAAGATAATGCATGTGGGTTATCATAATTTGGATGGGAATAACCTTAACATTGTTATGAAGGAAAGGGATCTTGGTGTAATAATCAATCAGTCTCTAAAGCCAGCCAAGCAATGTGCTGTCACTAGTGGTAAGGCAAATAAGATTTTAGGTTGTATCTACAGAAATATTGAATACAAGTCTAAAAGAGGTTATAATTTCATTGTACAGGTTGCTGGTTAGGCCACATTTGGAATATTGTATTCAGTCTTGGGCTCCTTACCGTAAGAAAGACATTGAATTGTTGGAAAGGTGGAAACAGTTCGGAGAAGGGTTACTAGAATGGTGCCTGGGATAGAGGGGTTGTCATACGAGCATAGGCTAAAATCTTTTAAACTGTTTTCTCTTGAAAAAAGAAGATTTATGGGGGATCTGATTGAGGTGTTAAAGATTGTAAAGGGAATTGATAGTGTTGATGCATCGTCATTTTTTCATATTTAACAGTGAGAATAGTAGGACTATAGGACACATAAATTATGGCAAGGTAGGAGTCATCTTCAGCTAAGAAAGTTTCCTTTTTCTAACAGAGTGGTTGGCCTTTGGAATGGGTTGCCTTCAGACGTTGTGGAGGCAGCAAGTTTAAGTGAGTTTATGAAAAAGCTTAATAAGTAATAAGTATATGAATGATAAAGGTTGGCTTTAAGATTTTTTTTTAATTATTATAATTTAGTTTAGATGATGGAACAGTCAAGATGGACCAATTGGTCCCATGTCCCAAAACCTTATGTTATACAGATTAAGGATGATAAATGTTCCACCAATACAAAATAAAGCATGTATTATTTCATACTTCACCTTATTACGTAAGGTCACGAGATGTGAATTTACATTTGGTATGATAACGAGTTGAGAGAGAGACATAAACATAAAAACTGATTCCATATCAGCCTTAGGTGTTAAGATTTTAAAAAAAAGAGGGAGTAACAAATGAATTTACAAGTTGACCTAGTTCAACATCAAAAACAGAATGGACTTTTATGCTGAATAATCATTTTGCATGGTCTTTGTGAAACATTCCAGATGAATTTCTCATTTAGACACGTCTTGAAGAAATAAATTATAGTTTCAAAAAAGATTAACTGCCTAATTTGATTCTGAATCATCATCTTACCAAAAAAACACAACATTTCACGTGTAACAGCCATACGAGTTTCTGTATCTATTTCCTAACTCAAAATGATACTTCACAAGCACAATTTATGCCTAAAAAAATTAATTACTGAGAATGAAGAGCATTTACATCTTCATTTACAAAAAACAGCAAGCCATTTTTAGTTATATCAAGAAAGTTCTTTAAAATAACTTATTTTTGTGCACTTAAAACATGTAAAAAATTGTGTTCTTCAGAGAAATATAAGCCAGTATTTTATTAGATATATACACACACACACACACACACACACACACACACACACACACATATATATATATATATATATATATAGTAGTATATT